ATGTGTAATTTTAAGAATGCAGGTGTAAATAACTGATATGAATAACTAGCAAAAAATATGTAATAGAGTAGTGAAATAAATTACACTCTTTTAGTGGAAAATATAGATATTATCTATCTATTATAAGGAATAAGTTATAATATGATATTTCTGTAGTTCATATCTTAGAAGACATACTCAACAATGACATGAACATGTCACAATTAGTAATATGTGAAAATAAGAATTATTTTATTTATAAGTGATTATTAATTGGTTTGTTTGATATACTTTTAAATTGATATCCTTCAGAACACTAATTTTACTTATACGTTTATAAATAATTAAAGGTGTTCACGTTTCATGATGGTAACTAAACCATAGAACACTTCTATGTTAAAGAAATAGGTTTTCACGTATAGGTAATTTCTCGAATTTTGTAATTAATTTATTTTCTTGAAATATAATAGGATACCATTATTAAATAGGGTTATTTGTCTTATGTACCCTTTTGATATGCATATAAACCATTTTGCGAACAATTTCTATAAATGTATGAACGTATGATATCATCATTTTTAGGAATAATTTTAAAATTTATATAACACTACTTGTTTTTTCCGCGTATTCAAAGGAGTGAAATATTTCTATATTTAACTATAACAGATATAATGAATTTGATAAAGTGTATATTAAAAACAGTAATAATGAATACTGTAACACGTTAGAAAGCATTAACGAAAAATACATAATCCTGTGTAAAAATATTGCAAATAATTTTAAAAAATAGTTTGTCAAATAAGAAAATAAGCGATTATATGAATGCTATTACTTTTTGGATTTCTTACATAATCATATAGTGAAATAGGACTAAAAAGTATGTGATCCATAAAATAGGCATGTTAGGGATAAAATATGTGACCATGTAGAACTATTACTTATAAAACAATATAAATTGGAATCATATATATGTTATAAATCAAGTAACCCATAAAATTGGGAATAATAGAAATATTTACATGATACTTTTTAATATTATAAATATATGAAAAGTAATAATATTGATCAAACAGAGATAAAAATATATTTAAAAAACTTATATTAATCGGATTTATATGAATTGCCATTATGAATTTTCATCTTCTGACTATATATCTATTGAATTATATTTAGAACTTTACTATTTGTGAAACATGTGATAGAAATGCTATTTGGAGCATTTTATTGTCCTTTAATATGTTATATATAGATAAAGTTAAAGAAGCTAAGGACGTAGGATAAGAAATACGTGAGTTAAGATGTATTGTGCCTCAAAAATTTAGCAGTAACATGAGAATAATGAAAGTACGCATAGAATATAATATATCCAACATAATGTATGAAGTAAAATAATTTAACTTTTTTCTAATATTATAGAAGTAAATTATATTAATAGAACTAATATTTTTTAATGGTTTTATCGTAGATTATTTAACATTAGGTACAGTGATGTGGTTGGAGATTTATTATAGAGTATATAAAGGTTATAATTAAATATATAAGTATTTTATATTGATATTTATAATTTTTACATGTATATATTTATTAAATAATAATATTTTCCTATACTTATATATGATTATTTTACTTTATATGGATAAATGTCATATAAGATGAGAATAAAAAAGAAAAATTAAATCCAAATCAAAATGAAATAATGGAAGGGTAAATAGATTCATATGTCTCATAATCTATATTTATATATTACGACATAAGACAATTATGTTTGTCATGCCATTCAGGACAAAATTTTTTTCTGTTATTAACCTTTAATAAAATATTCTTTAAGAGATTTTTATGAGGTAACATACTGTTATAGTTGTGTGATAATGCACAATAATACAGAAAAATAGAATAATAATGAAATATAAGCATTAAAAAAAGCATGATTTAAGTATTATATATTATGTAAATAAATATATATTTATATGAACAATTCATGAATGTACAGCACGAAGGAAAGTATTATTACAATAAATATAATTAATGCTAGGATAATTCTGACGATATTTAAAACAATGTAAAAATTATATGCCATTGATAAGTGTATTATAAATTTTTTATCCCACAAATGTATATTTCCGTTTAAAGAGCAATATACATTTTAAAATTAAAAGGGGAAGTGATTCACTTAAGATAAATTAGAGTAAAATTAGACATGTAACGTAACAAAATAATAAATTATCATAATTATATTCTAGGAATTTATGGTAGTTTTGACGCAACTAGTAAACGAGAAAAAAAAATATATATTAATATTAACATATATATTGTGATGCAAGTGATAATGCTCTTACAAATAATATTGATAGGAAAATGTATTATAAAATATATATTCTAATTAGGGTGCGTTGATTTGTTTTAATTTAATGAATATAAAGGAAATATGTATAAAATGGTATCATATTCGTTTTCTATGTTTTACAACTATATGTGAAATAATGTAATAATATAAGATAATGACTATATAATGAATGTGTAATATAGTTGATACATTAATTTAAGAAATATATATAATTTTATTTTACACCTAATGTTAACTTTAAAAAAATTAATGTATGTTTTTATTTTTATTTTTTTCATTGCTTATGTATGTACCTACAAATTTATTATAATATTATATAATTATAATAACTTTGAACATAAATTAAACACACAAAAAGGAATAAATTAGATCAAATGAACTAAATTTGATGAAAAAAAAAAATGTAAAAATTAAATTATTTTCTGTATTTCCTATTTTTTCTTATACAATATTCTTATATAGAATAAAATTTCAGACATTAATATCATGTATGGATGGAAATGTGATATCATTTGTAGTGAAAAATATTACAAAGGAATAAAAAAATATATTATTAGAAGTTAATTATGAATCTGTATATAATAATAATAGAGAACTGCTTTAATAATATTATATTGTTATATGTCATAATATTTTTAGAATATATTTGTATTGTATTCAATTTTTATAACAATTTGCACGTTTCATAATTATTATTGTATTAGCCAATGAGGTGCATTATTATTCTATCTATAAAATACTAAATTATAACTTAATCTCAAATTATATATTCACAACACTGCATAATAGAGAAAGTACTAAATTTATTCGTAGTACTTTTATTTACTATTTATATGCGTAGGTATTCATATTTTAATAATTATTATTATGAAACACTATGTATTATGTGGATAATATTCTACATGAATTTTATTTATTATATCATAAGGATTATTTCGTTTTTAAGTATTTTCTTGAGAGATGCACGTATTATGCAATTTATAAAAATTCTTTTATGAATTTTTGAAAATGCATTTTCTTCGAATTATATACATATTAGTAATATTAGGATTGATTATACAGCATATCATAGATCCTACTGTTGAAAATATTTGTGGGTACTTCGATTGGTTTCGTTGTATTCCTTATATTAGAAATATTATCAAGCTTTTTTCTTATCCATTTTATTCTTTGGCGCAATAATGAACCATATGAAGTATACTAATACAAGTAAAATGAATTAGGAGTAAATTATGTAATTTTAATATGACGAATGCTTTTTTTTAAGCTATTAGGAAACAGAATTTAATATTCTCTATAAATACAAAAAATACAATAATTAAACTTAAAAACAAATAACAAAAAAAACAATATTAGTAACGTTAAAATTATTGTAATTGCAATAATATTTACAATATTGGATCGACAAGAACATGTTATTTCTTGTATATTATTTACCTCAGTTGTTGATTTTTGCGATTGAGCCCTCTCATGAACTTCTTGCGGCATAGGTTTTTGATTTTCATTTATAATTTTTTTTAATATATCGCAATATCCATTGTAATTCTCAGATACATTATGTGTTTTTATACCTTTAATGCATTTATATGTATTATATAAAAATATAAGATCTTCCAATTGTTCATTTGTTTTTATTTCATAATCAGTACAAAATTTTGTTTGAAAACCCAGATTAAGGGGATATGTCTTTATCATTTCATTGTAAATATCTTTTGTATAGTCACTATAATTGATTTTTTTAAGAGAATAATATAACCAATATGGAAAGTATATACATCCTGCTTTTCTATATTCGATATATGTACCCTTAACATTCACATCATATAAATATGAAAGAGATTTGGGGCATATTTCTTGAATAAATAGATTATTATTATTGCCCTTAAATTTACTCGCAATAGAAGAGCAAACATCTTTATATGTATTTACAGAAACGTCTTTATTCATCTGTATAATTTTCTCACAACGAGGAAAGTCAGGTAGAAATTTATACTAATATTAAGAGAAAAAATAGTAACATTACATAATTTATTTGATGCTAAAAATATGTTTTTTATGTTTATAGAAAATGTAATATATGTAATTATATAAGTACTCCACGCATATCATTATATTTCAGGGGTACAATATTATCTGCCATATTATAAAGTACTATATTATACAGAACATGCTCATATAAGATAATAAAATGTGTTAACATACAAAAATATATTTTTAAAAATAAAAACACACTGCATAATGCATATTTATGTCACAATTTCTTATATCTATTGATATAATGTGATATTATTATTTATTCGCTACAAAATTAATTATGATTCTTCTTAAAAAATATAATATATATGATTTCTTGGATGTAGAACAATTTATCAAACATTTTAATAAATGAATAAAAAATATAAGTGCGATATTTATAATAAAAAGAGAAAATAATATAGACTCCTAAAATGTAAAAGAAAGTCTGATTTGATATATTAAAATTATAAAGTTATAACAATATATTCAATAAAGAAAACGATACATCACATGTAAATGTATGTCCTTTTTAATATTCATATAATTGTACGTATATTCATCCTTAATATAAATTTCATTGTAGAATATATAATTTATTGTAACAAATATGAAAAAATAGAATATATAGGATTTAGAGTTTAGTGATTATTGATTTCAGAATTCATATATAAAAAATATAGTAACATATTAATAGAAGTGATCGTATTTTACAGGTATTTCTCATTATTTTATAAGGAATATATGAGGATAACTTAATATTTTATTACTTTTACTTCAATTTCCATGTTCCTAATATACTAACATTATATATATGGTATAATTAGATTTAATGTATAGTAGAATTTTATTTTGGAGCGTATATGAGATTGTTATATAACTAAACATATAATAATGGTATATAAAATAAAATTTCTCATTATATATTTAACAATTGGGAAATACATTTTAGGTTGAATATGCTATTAATTACATTATGAACTAAGATATAATGTAATTCTTATGTGCTCAAACAAATTACATGTATTATATAAGAATATAAGTAAGAAAATGTATTAATGTTTCCATGCTTTTTAGCACTTTATAATTCCATAACAGGAAACAAATATCAATATAATACATATAAGTATTTTTACATATATATATTTTACCTTTATATATATATTATTGCTATATTTATATAAAAATAAATGATTATATATGAACAATTTTTATATGAAATCATTTATGATCTTACATAAATATATTATATTATCCAGGATTATTAAAATCATAATATCTTAAAATATTGTTTATTTAAATAGGTATTATGGATACAGCAAATTTTGTAATTTCTTAGAAAAATATTAATAATATATATTACAGATTTAGAGTTAGGTGTTTTAAGTCTTGATATTTATGTTTTATGTTTTAGTTTCAATTATTCATGTATCATTTTCAAGGAGATAAATAACATTTTTTTTATAACATCATCTTTATATTTATATATAATCTTGATTATGAAATATATAAATGTAATTTATTATATGTGAATTTAATCATCTTTATTTAATGTATGATATGACACTAATAAATAGGAATTGCATGTTTATTTATTTCTTAATGGCACATATATATTATAAACTTTTTAATAATATCATGTAATACATAGTGTTGATCCCAATAAAAAGATTGTATTATAAACAGTTATTTAAATATTTTTTGTGTTAAACTTTTAGATTAATATTCTCATATTTTATATTAAGAATAAATATATAATAATTCTTACACCATGTAAAAAGTTTGTTACCAGTAAATTTTTTTTTATATTGTCATTAATACATTACTCATATATATTAATTTTTTTTTTTATATAATGAATATTAATCTTTTATATTTTATTTATTTGTTATATATTTTTATTGTACTAAATAAAACAAGCATACACTAATTATATAAAATGGTTTGAAAAATATAATACAAATTATTGATTTATATGCATCATTTTATTATTTTATTTTTTTTGTGTTATTTTTATAGTATTTAAAAAAAAATATTAAAGCTGTTACATATTTGTGTTTTTATTATTAAAAAATACGATACTCATAGATTATTCATTAACCAGATGATAAACTATATATATATTTTTATACATATACTATAATCATTAATTTTTAAATTACATATTCTTAAAGCATTAATTAATGGAGTTATTATTCTAAATAGTATATATTTATGCAATATATTACAAATATAACAATTTTATTTAATAATATTTTTATGTATTCATGTGCTATAGTTTAAAATGATAATGTTTCAAATTTTCAGATAAATAGAAAAGAAAAAGCAAAGAAAATATTCATTTTAACATAATACTTTTAAATATATATTTGATGACAAAAAAATCAAAAATATTAATTACTTCATGAATAAGTGACAAAAAAGCAGCTACAGATAAAATGTATAGCTAATATAAATATGATGCACCAAAAATATACAGCTATAAGGAAAAAAAAATAATATATATGTTTTGCAAATAAAAATTATGCATATAAAAATATTTTGATGTAGAAGTAAATTAAATCAAATTATTTGCTTTTGCAAGATTTATGCATTCTATTGTAACCAATTACCATTATGTTTTTATTATTCATATTACTTCTAATATTCCTTAATTTTAATAAAACACTCGATAAAAATCTAATATGAATATATAGTATATTAT